ATTTCACGACGTATTATTCGTCACCTTGACGCGTGCTTGCACGCGACGAAACGTTGCGCCGTCTCTGTGCGACAGGCCTGGTTGTGTCGGAATCTCGACGAGCCTAGTTTTCGATTTGAGAGACGAGAATACAGAGCGCGCGAATCTCTCGCAACACCGCCTGCGAGGGGCGAGTCACATGCCTGAGGCGGGAGACTGGCGCGCTCATTAGCGACGCGTTGCCGGAGAGGCCATGAAACTATTTTTCTCCTTTTGTCCCCTTTTGTTCAGAATGAATGAACACACTCGGCCACCAATCCTTCCATAGAAAGCGGGAACTAGATATTGTGCCGTTTTGACAAAACTGCAACGCTCGGAACACGGGCCGGGCCCCAAGCATTGTTAGAGCGTGGCGGTGTTCGTCACCGCAGTGTTAAGACACGAGCTCCGACCGGAATGTCTGCCGAAGCACTGATTGTCCTCGAGACCAAGCCAAGCGCCGACTTTGCATTCGGCTGACGTTCTTCAGGGGTTGTCCCCGCGACAGCATCACATTTTAGTGATGAAATTGCTGAGCCATTTGCGCCAAACTGCTTACGTGCTACATCCTGCTACGTTTCACCGATATGTAAGGAACTCGCACCGACACATGTCGTCAAAAGTTGATTTCACGCGATCAGTACGAGTTGCTCATGCGTCTCGCTCACTGATGAATCGTCACGATAGGCTTGTACCAATGTTGGAAACATTTTTTTTTTAATTAACGCTTTGAATAGCGTACTATTTGATTCGAACTCCGTATCGAACGCTGTGGAGCAGTCTTCTGTGGATTAAATATTCCCAACTGTTCATTCTGCACCGGTGTACCGAGGAAGAACCACACCCGCCGAGTACACATCGTGATTCTGCGTATGTCGCTTCGCCGTAACGCAACCACGTTCTGTGGGGAAGGAAACTCTTCCTGAGCGTGAGGTTTGTGGCCGCGTCAAATATGTCTCCCTTTAAAGGCCAACATACAACCTCGGTTTTCTGCAGGGAAGATAATCCTCTTTGCGCTCCCCTCTCCTAGGCTGCGAGGGGAGCCAAGTTGGGCTAAGGTAAAAAGTAGAGAGGACATAGGAAAGGAGGAAGCGTGCAAAAGTGGAAAGCGCGAAGTATACATCGGCCTTTAAGAAAAAAAAAAAAAAAAGAGAAGAAGTATTTTGAGAACGTCGTGCTGTAAAATTCGCAAAATAAAATCGCGACTGGAATACTGGAATGATGTCAGTTTTACGATAATATAATATTGATGTGATTTACACAGTGAAGATAGATAATGCAACGGTATGGCCGTTCAGGAAGACAAGCTCATAAACCACGAGCTTCCGCATGCTTTCTCCACCGATCTCGCGCTTCGTCTTCCTCTTTTCCAAACAATACGATTGACAGCGATATCCTGATAAATTCCGTGCGTCATTGGTCGTATCTTGTTCTCGATTTCGAGATTTAAGGAAACGTAGGTTTAGTGAGCGGATTTATAAGTAACCTTGATTAGACGGAGCTGGACTGCACTATAATTTTCAATCTAATGCGAAATCGCTCGTTTGGTTACCATCTCCAGAAAAAAAAAACAAAAAAAAACAATTGTTCTATGGCACAGTCAATCAAGTTCAAACTGCAAGTAAATTACTTGCACAACAGCTATAGTCGGCGACAGGTTAAGAGATCAGGGGAAGCTCCTCCCACCCCTTTCCACATTAGCAGAGCAAGCGCTGGAGAGGAGGTGACCTTTTCTCCAGCGCTGGCTCTGCTAAAGTGGAAAGGGGTGGGAGGAGCTTCCACTGATCTCTTAACCTGTCGCCGACTGTAGTTGACTTGAGTGTTTGAGGTAATCAAACTAGTCTACAGATGTGCATTGGATACTGAGGGGTCGTTGCGCACAAGGAATAAGGCAAAGAAGGCGTTGTCTTTAAGTTCGGCAGGCTAGCACATGAATCTTAATTCGCAGGGGAATAGTCGTGGATGACGTATATGCTTCTGACGTACCCTTTTAATTACTTTTGCTTCTCCAAAATGGAGTTTCGGCTGCTCCAAAAAGTGGGCTTTTGGCCGCTCCAAAAGGTGCTCCAAAATGATTCGGACCCATCCCGTCACTGAGCTTTGTGAATGCGAGAAGGAAAGAAATAGTTTGGTTGTATGCGCGAAATTACACAGCGACAAAATAGCTCGTGGCTCAGGTAGTTGCTAGTCAAACTAGGGGCTTCGCTCCGTTGCTGGCACTCTCCCCCCCCCCCCCCCCCCCCCCCAAAAAAAAAAAAAAAAGAAAGAAAAAGCTGGCACTCTCTCCCGTGACCTTGCTACGGAGTGACGAACACCGACACGAGCAAGCAGGGCCCGCGCACATTTCCCATATATAACTTAAAAAAAAAAAAGGCGTTTGAAACGTGAACGTTTTGATAAAGTAAAAAACAGCTGGTCTTAAATGTGCATAAAATCACCGTAATTCAACCCCCCCCCCCCCTTTTTTTTTTTCAAAAAAAAAAAAAAAAGGAAATGAGTAACGCTTTGCAAGGAGCCTTTTTTTTTTTTTACGGTTTTTAGGTGAAAACGAGCATATATATCTTGCATTGATCCCTGAATCGCGCGTGTCCCGGACGACCAGTCCGTCAGTTTGCCGCCTGCAAACTGGTCGGTTCGCCGCGTTTTATCACCGCATCATTTGGGTCTGTTTCTCTTTCTCTATTAGCCTAAAGAACCCGATTCGAAAAAACAAAAGTAGAAGAGAAGAAACGGCCTTGAAAGAAGGTCGATAGAAATGCTTGGTTTTGAATCTTCTGATCTTCTACCAACTGGAACTAGTCGCAAGAATGGTTCTTCGTTTAGAAACGAATCCATCTTCTGTCCGTACGTTTTTCCTCAAACTCTTTTACCCTCGAGGAGAGCTCCATGCACGAGGACAACAACGTTTCTGTTGTCACTTTCCCTCCCGTTGGATACGCGCTGTAGAAGACCGGGCACGGCTACAGGGCGCCGAGAGCCTGCGAGCCGCTGGAAGGCCAAGGCAAGGCTCGCGGAGCGTGCTCTCTCCTGCTGCGTATGCAGGCGTTCGCGAAGTGTGGTGGCTCGGCAGGGCTTTCCGGACTGCGCGTACGGTCGGCTCGATCACGCCTTGGCACGCGGCCTTGCCTGCTGCTGCGTTCCCGATCGCCGCGCCCACTGTCTTATGAACTCTTTTAGCGTGGAGCTGGGCGTGGGTGCGGCCTCTGAGCCTCAGCGCGACGCATCGCGCAGGGCCCCGAGAGGCTGCGTCGTTCCTGGCCAAGGAGCAAGGAACGCGGGTTTGTTTCCTCTCGGCCGCTGATTTCCACGGTCTAGCGGCTGCGATCAGTGTCAAGGTCCAGCTGAGTCAAGTACAAGTGGAGTGCGGGGACGGGGGACGAACCGCTTCCGGAAATTCGAAACCCGGCAGTCTCCGGTGGTGCCTCTTGTCGGGTCCTTTGACCGAGCCCGCTGTGCGGTGAAGCGTCGACAGTCCTGCACCGGTGCGCGCCCGCGGGATTCGTCTCTCGAGGAAGGGCCACCGGTCTTTAGGACGGACGGAGGACGCGCTCGCTGGGGGAGTGGTCAGCTCGTGGACCGTTGCGTTGTGCCTGGCGCGTTTCACTCACAGCGTTGAGTAGCGGCATCTCTGTATTACCTTCGTCGCGTATAGCCCGAAGTGGTGCCGCCAGTCCGCCTAAACAGGGCTGGACGGGAATGTCACGTACTATGAACCTGCCACTTGACGACTCTCTTGTCGCTGCGGTTCCGGCGAACGACGTCTATACGCGGTGACCCTTGGCACGGAACTCGTTGTTTTCTGGAAGAGATTGGTACCTCGCTTCGGTCGAGACTATACGCGTACTTCTGGTGTCGGAGACACCGGAGCAGGAGGAATAAGAAGTTGCACTGGACCTGAACTCGACGGCTGAACGGTCTGCAGCGATTGAAAGAACCACAACGGGAATAGAAGCGGCTGACCAGACGAGAATGAGACGTGCGCGAGGACGAATCCGGAACAGTGGAGGAGGCCGTTTACTTGGAATATCGGTCGCTTTTGTTCCGGATCACGACGTGGTCATCGGGGATCGGCGGACCTTCCTTGGCGGACGTGGCCAGGGCCGGGGAGCAATGGCCCACCGTGCGGCGTGCTCGCGGGAGGAGACGCACGGCGTTCACTGCTCTTCCGCGCGCGCTATGCCCTTGACCCGCTCTGCTCGTCGCGTTTCCACGAGCCCCATTGAAGACTTCGGCCAGCTGGAAGGACTGCACCTCACGAACCTGTTTCTTTTCACCAAGTGCCGTCACGTTGCTTGTGGGGGGGGGCTGCAGATGGCGCAATGAGGACTCAACATCGCCACCATTTGTCGGCCATTTTTAGGTAGGACGCTCACCGGCACCTTTGTCTTGTCAGTTCAACAAACGCGCGCTATTTTTGAACTTGTTACGCAAAATAGAATGATAGCACATGAACCACAACCGCAGAAGCTGTTTTCGTGTGCTCTAGGTACAGAATTACGCGGCACGACATTGTGATGCTCTGCGTTCCTTTGAGTCTCTCTATGTGCATATAATGTAAAGGAAAAAAAAAAAAAAGTAAATCCCAGCACACATATATTTGTGCGCGCTGATTGTTTGTCTCCAGCTGCTGGCGCTCGTCTTTAACGGATGTCCCTCCGATAAGAGGTAGACCAGTGTGCGTTTCATTCCTCGAATAATCCTTCAGACATGGTTCGAGCCGGCTTTCCCCCCACGTTGGGTGGGCGATGAACATGTCACGGCCCCTTAGGCAGTGGCGCGCGCAGTGAGCTGTTGGGAGAGCAACGAGCGCTTCCATCGGAGAGCGGCCCGTCATCGAGATGCCGGCCGTGACCCAGTCTGCGTGCAGTCGGCGTCTCTCAATCGGGCCGCAGCGATGCCGGCGTCACACGTCAAGAGCGACATCGCCGCGCAGAGAGACCCCCCCCCCCCCCCCTGCGTGGGCACACCCCAGCAGGTTGGAGCGCGCAGTGGTCCTCGGAGTCCTCCCAGCCCGCTAGCTAGATGCGCTCGGCGTTGGTTCCGGTACCACTTGGTGGGCCACGCGAGAAATCCGTCTCTTTTGAGCCGTCGGCTGTCTCAGCAAGCAGGCAGCAGGCACAAAAGAGCGGTTGCGGCTCTCTGCGGCCGCCCCGGTGCTGCTCTTCTCCGAATCGGAGGCTACCGCGCTGCTGCTTGCTGCTGCTTGCTGCTGCAGGGGCGTCTCGCGAGGCGCCCTTCCGAAGCGGATGTGCGATGGATTCTGCGCCGGCGTCCGGGATGGCCAGAGTGTGCAGCTCCTGCATTGTGTGCTGGACGGGGAGATGCGATGAAGCGGAATCGGAATTTTGCCGAACGGAGGTAATGGTCCTCGGTCTCTGTCGGCTCAAATGGCCCGGCGGATGGACGCCTCTCATCGGGTGCTTTTCGACGCTCCATTCTTTTCGGGGTCCGCGCTGCAACGACCGTCCGTTTCCCTTTTTCTACCTGGCTTTTTGTTATTGTCTTTCTTTTTGGAAACCCGGGCGCTGCTCATTACCACGGCCGCATTTGATTTCGGGGGGCATTCGGGCTCGGTCTGCCTGGTTTTCGCCGCCGCAAGGGCGTTGCCGAGGATGCGCTTGGCTTGCGCGAAAGAAAGCGGCGGCGGCGCTTGCGCGGGTGGGCAGGAAGTGAATCACCTTCGGGGGCAGGCTACCGGAACTCGCCGGCCCGCTCTTGCCTCACTCTTCTTGAATCACTTTGTCCAGATCACGTGATTCGGCCGACACGACATGCCCTCGTTGCACGCGGTGGACGACGCGGAATTACGGTCCTCTGGCGCTAATTCGGTGGACCTGAGGTTTGAGTGTATGAACGAGAAATCGGTAGTAGTATGAAGATGTCTTTTCGTCTTCGGTATGGCGGAGTTACGATGGCGGCAACCATCCTTCGCGGGTGCTGCCCTCCAGAGGTAGTCAATATTATGCTTAATATATATATATATATATATATATATATATATATATATATATATATATATATATATATATATATATATATATATATATGGTGCCAGGCTGACAGCGGAAAGTGCTCCCATACAACACAGCGCGGCTCGTTTGCGTGTTTTCCGGCAAGTGCAAATGCGAGCGCTATGAAGAGGTCATTTGCTGAATAAAAATTGGAGGCTTTACTGGGTGTATAATTATAATTCGAGCATATTAAAATAGAAAAGAAAAGGGGGGGGGGGGAGGGGGGGAGGGGGGAGGGGCTAGAGAAGGATGAGTGCCGTTTACACCATGTACTTATCAGGCTCGGCGGACATTAGACGAGGGGATAATAATCATAGTAAGTAGGCTAATTAACTCAAATTTCTTAATTAACTTTTTAAATGTTGGTTTTTGGGGTCATGTTGCAGTATTGACGGCAATAGCTATTAGAAGCCAGCCTAAGAATTTCGAAACATGTCAATGGTTCCTGAGGTATTAATTAATCCATTTCACGTTTTGTTTAGCCCGATTTAAAAGAGCGCGCCACAAGCCCTGCCCCACAATGACGCAATTAGAAAAGTGACGTAGTCGTTTCAATCATGTCGTCGCTATCTCGGCAGCGTGCCCTTGGGTACGCAGACGACACATACTTATGTGATGATGGGACTGAAATGACTACGTCACTCTTCTAAGCGTCATTTCGGGAAGGGTGTGCGCTTTTTAAGCGCAATCAAAGTATTTTGATTGGTCTGACCTCTCATTGTAACTGCCATCAAAGCTGCAAGCACAGCATGAGTTATATGGCCAGGGGGCACATAATATAGGTGGCTAATCGCCACGACAAGTCAAATGAGTAACTAATCCTCGTTAATTAGCTTTTTAATTAGTGAACGTTTTACGTTTTCAATTAGAAACTTGCTGAGCGTCACGGAAAACCGCTAATCCGGCAATCCTTCGAAAAACTTTGAGCGCATGGGACGTGGCGGGAGTGCGCCAAGTTTACCACTCGTGCAAGACGCACAAGACGAGAAAACGCAAGTAAGAGACGGAAAAAAACCGTGCGAGAGTCTTATCGCACCAGTAGCCTTGCTCCTGCAGCACGCCTGGCAACTTTAGCGCTCCACCCTGCTTCCCACGAAGTATGTCCACTATTGACTGATTTAGTGGTTTGCGATGACGCTCGGCAACTTTCTAATTAGAACAATACGTTTATTTTCGACAATTCGAACGTTAAGATATTTAAGATAAGACCGTATAACTCACCTCTGCAAACCGCATTAGTGTAGCTTTCATGTATTTTTTTTTAAAAACAAATTTGTTAAGTTTAAAAAAGGAACGCTCTGTATGGTAGTATACTCCCTAGTAATTTTCGAGTATACTTGTGTACGGTTTCCCGCTTGGTGGCCGTTTGGGATATTTTGTAAAGGCTCACTTGAAAGGCCGAACCGACGAAACCATCGGGCTCGGAGAATCGTTAGGTTTCTATTGTCGTCGTCTACTTATTTCGAAATCAGTTTCTTTCTTTCTTTTTTTTTTTTTAATTTTGAGCCACGAGGGCTGTGTGATAGATACATCAGCTTCAATAACAACGACGTTTGTAATCCAGCGGCTTTTCTTAATTTTAATCTGGCTTATTTTAGGACAAAAAGAAAAAAGAACGAAAGACATATGTTCTGCTGACTTGATGCTCACTCTCCTCGTATTTCCTTTACAATTCAAGCAGCAGAGGTGCGGCACGTGCTGCTGATTTTATTCTGCCCTCTGTCTGAAGCGGAAACTTCGGCGTGGCGACGCAATACAGAACCAACCATTAGGCGGGGTTTTCGCCTAAAAGTTTCCTCTATCGTTAATTATCTCCAAAGATGGGTTATGTCGGCGCTTTGACGGGTCATTCGTTGGAACTGTATTAGTAATGAAAATGTCGTTAATCAAATGCTCGAGCGAGCCATCCGCTTGCGTACATTTTACGCTCCTTTAACACGCTTCGAGTGAAAGGCGTGCAGTGGCGGTGTAGGGTTTGGGCCACGCCCTCTGTGTGCCATCGTCGGAGAGTCCAGGTGTAATTACTGAGAACCAGATATACCTTAAACATTCAGCCGGTTGCTGCAATGCGTTCTGTCGCGTTACGTCACAAAAATACGCCCATTTTGCATTAAAAAAAAAAATGCGTTTTTTTTTTTTTTTTTGTTAAGGGTAACTAACCATCCAGTGTTTTTAAACCTCTATTTCTCGTGACGCCCTCATACTCATACGTTGGTGTTGTAGTGCTGCGCGAATGTGTTATCCAAAGTTTTCTCTGACGTGCTTTGAGACTTCGCGGGAAATCGAACCACAAACGACGCCGTCGGGGGTGCCTTCCCTTGTGTGGCTGTGAATGTCGGCGAGGCGCTTTTCGTCATCCTGTTTGCCCGGATATTTCTCCAGACATTTCACAACACTCTTCTGCGTCTACAAGGCTCTCAGACAGCATATTTAATATTAGATGTTGTTCTCTTAGTAACTGTACTTAATGTTACGTTAGTCTGGCCAGAATGTGAACACTTACTCATCACTGTTCATTCATGAGCGTGTGCCTCTACTACTGGCCGGTTTACGAGTCTCCGGTGCTTCACCCTTGAACCCCAAATTACTTCATTCGTACGATTTTTTTTTTTTTTTTGTATTGACAGTTTTAACACGGTATGCCACTTTGAACCCGCTACAAATACGCCCCCTTAATCAGCCTTCGAAGTGTGCGTGCGTGCGTGCGTGCGTGCGTGCGTGCGTGCGTGCGTGCGTGCGTGTGCGTGTGTGTGTGTGTGTGTGTGTGTGTGTGTGTGTGTGTGTGTGTGTGTGTGTGTGTGTGTGTGTGTGTTTTTAAGGTATTTGCGTCTTTTTTCTCCTAATAGCTGGACCGATCTGACTTTCTATCCTTGTTTTGTTTCCTTTCTTTGAGTTATTGTCTCACTGAATTTGAGAATCTCTCTTCTGATCCTGAAGGAGACATGTACTATCGGGGAAAAATGAAATGCGAACAGAGGAGCGCGTGGCTCGCGGTACAGGCTGCGCCGCCTGGAAGTGAACCTAGGGGCGAGGGTGCGTGGCCTACTTCGATGTGTTCACGCCGCTCGATTGGCGCTCCCCCAGCTTCGGCAGTGCGCCTCTCAGTGCGCTGAAAGCTGTCACCGCTATCTTTGCCTGCTCGCCGAGTGCGGCGAGCTTCCTTGCACCGCACGCGCTGAGCCAGCAAAGATAGCGGTGATAGCTTTCAGCGCACTAAGAGGCGCACTGCTGAAGCTTGGGGAGCGCAGAGGGAGAGGCGTGAACACGTCGGAGTAGGCCACGCACCCTCGCTCCTAGGCTCACTTCCAGGCGGCGCAGCCTGTACCGCGAGCCACGCGTTCCTCTGTTCGCATTTCATTTTTCCCCGATAGTACCTGGTTCGGTAATAATTGTTTTTGCATGCATTTCGATTAATTTTAAATATATATATATTTTTTTTTATTGTCTTCAGGATAGATTATACTCGTTGTTACCTCAAGAAAAAAAAGAAAAGAAACAAGTCTTGCGCATTGTTCATACGCCGCGCGAAGTCATTCCTACAGGATTTGGTTGTCGGATGAAGAAGCGTTCTTTGTCGTGTTTAAGCGTGTATTGTTAAAAATAAAACCTACAGTTTTTTTGTTTTTTTAAGCTTTACAGATTTGTTTAAAAAAAGTCGTGAAAGCTGCATTTAGGCTATTTTCAAGTGAGTTATACGGCCAGGGGGACATAGTATAGGAGGCTAATGGTAACGATCAGTCGGCTAATTGTCAGCGTCAAGCGCCTTCCGCGCGGAGAGCCACCTTGCCTGCCAGACAGAGACCCAGACAGTCGACCAAAAGTTTCGTCCAGCCCGGGCTTTCCCATTGCACCTCCGTGGAGCCCCCAGAATCGGGCCTCCCGGTTTGCGTGACCCGGGCGGGATTCCGAGGCGAGAGGAGCAAGGCGTCGGGTTACGTCTCACCGAGGAGAAGCCCCTTCGCAAGAGAGACGACTCCGGGACGCCGTACGATACGGACGGGACGACCGCTCTTCCCTCCGACATAATGTAACCTTATGTAACCGATTGTAATCCCAGTTAATAAACGTCTTGTGAATTTTAAATCAACCCCAGTTTACGCCTTAAACTTACGACCACCTACGAACTCCCAAAACCCCAACGGATAACCTGACATGGCGCAGCCGACATCAACGGAGGGTACGAGCGGCCACACCCCGTCAACGAGCGTCAACGAAAGCGGAACCAAGGAACGACGCTTTACGGTCAACGACGCTTTGAACGCAGTGAACGCTGATGATCTTCACCTCTTCTCCAAATACGAGCTGGTGGAAGAATTGAGGTCTCGTCATCTCCCATGCAGCGGACCG